GTGATGGAAGAGGTCACGTCCAAGAGGGCGTTACAAGTGCTTGGCGAGCGCAGTCTTTATTCTAGGCGGAGGACAAACAATCGTAAATGGCGAGTGCGCGACCCTTGCTTTGTCACGGGTTGTACCCAATTCACAAGTCAACGGATTAGAAACGCACTCTTTATCTGAATCTCGCTAGGATGGCCAAGGCAACCAACTGTTTGAAGTCAACATATTGTTGATAAAGAGTATGAAGGATCCTGTCCGGCAGCAGTGGCGATGATGGCTTGGTCGATGTCGGGTATCGAATATCCTGCCCGACCCCCAATAACAGATGCAACACTTTGAGCCTAGAGCTTGCACTTGACTGTACCTGCAACGCCCACTGGATATGGCTCCCGTTTCGCTTCATGTTGACATTTGTGGGAAGAGACTTGTTGGATATGGGACGGCGGAGACGCGTATGCTGGGAGAATATCGGGTACGTACAGCGACCAGACGATTGCTTCTCTTTTAATCATGCTTCCTGGATATAGAACGTCAGTCTAGGCGATCAGGGACAACCTTGTTCTCAGTCTGACTCGACTCGAACACGTTGACAGAAAAGAGTGTTATTACTAGGATATAAGGTTAGCAATATTTTTACTACACCCATTGGACAAACTTTGACATGTGACTAGACACGACGTTCCTCTCCCCTCATCCACCTACGCATGGGGCCTCCGTGGATAGGGTCCTTGGGTCGTGCTAGGTGGAAGCAAGTAACCCTGGGTCAACGTATTCTGGCTATTATTGCCGGCCACAGTCACACTGGACGATACCGCTGTCGTGACAGAAGGAGGGGAGGCAACACCGAGACCTTGTCCATTCCCATTCCCATTCCTGCTTGCATTATGAATATTGGGTTTAGGTGTCAGACTCTTTCTGTCTTCCTCCTCATCGTAAAATAGGTCGGAAGTCGGAGCCAACCAGATACTTCTGACCCCACGATTCCTTGCTCCACACGTAATGCAACAAATTAAAGTGAGCTGTACAGTGATCAAAGCTCCACATAGGGACAACAATATCGGCACTCGGTATCGTATAAGCTCGCATATGGAGCAAGTGGGATCTTTGACTGCAGAACAGAGGAGAAAAAGATGAGAACAAGGGATGGTTATGAGTAACTGCAAAAGAAAGAAAGAGAGGAACATACAGCCCCCCAAGTCGTAAATCCCTGTCCAGGCTTCAGTTCCCGGTATATTTACAGAAAAAGCCGATTGTACGAGTGCTTTGACAAAGGCAACTGGGAAAAAGAAATATACCGTCAGGTGTGCCCTTTTGGTTGGCGAGATGAGACACTTACTTGACCATAGCACCCAAAGCACGACCATACATGCCATCTCAACGATCAACCAAGACTTTATACCCCCTCTCCTTCGCAAGTCGACGACGAGTCTAGATGAGCGAATTGGCGGTCAATATTGGTACGACAGAAGGGTCATCTCGTGGTAGGAGACGTACAGGGAGAAGTAGACGACAGTAGATAGGAGGCATATCCCAACCAAAATGAGATCAAGGTTGAGCAAAGTGGACCAAGTGTTTATTACCGACCCAACGATGATGAGGGCTGTCGGTGGTGAAGAAAGACCATTAATCAAGTTGGCGCTCGTGTCGAATTCAAGGTGTCGAGAGACGTACCGAATAGCCAATGTCGTATGAAAGCTAAGGAGCGAGTTGTTGGCATGGCAGACCCGTAAAAGGAGCGACAAGAGAAAGGAAGGGATAGAAGCTAGTGAGCGGGCCTTTTGGACCTCCCTGCGTCTGTTTTCCTCTCCCCCTTTTATGCTCTATCCTATGGCATACTCCATCTCAAATGTCAAGTGCTATAGACCCCCCTATGGCGCGAGAGAGCGGGGCTGACACTTATCCACAGGGAAATTGCTGGCTCGATAACGGCGGAGAGACCATGTTTGTATGAGGTACTGACTTGTACCTTTGCATACCTCCCACTCGGAGACCAACGTTCGACTGTTCGGTTGCAGAGTAGTACATGTCATGGCAGACGGTTGAACCAGCCAACATCCCCAGTCTCGTCCAACGGTACTACACACCAACTAAGAGTACACATCAAAGCAAAGGGTCGAATACAGAGATATCTCAGAGTAGGATTGCTAGTGGAGTGTATCGTGAGTTGGTCCCATACTTCATTTGGATATCGGCCAGCAAGATGTTGACGGCTGATAGCCACAACGTATCCACAGAGCATTGCCAGCAATCCCGTTCAAAACAGTGACCCGACCAATCCATAGACAATTCACTTCTTTACCCGTGTGTAGAGTCCTAGTGGACGATCTGGGAGAGCTTTCCTATGTCACCAGTGGCTCGGTTTACAATATTCGATGAGGACTATATTCGATCCAAACAGAGTAATATTACTAGGATATACTGGTTAGCACGCCCCTTGCCATGCTCATTAGACAAAGCTTGATACAAAGACTAGACTCGACCCTTTCCTCTACTTCCCAAACGACTCTACACCTGGACTCCTTTCAGTTGTATGGCGAAATCGGACTAGTGGGGTACGCAGGTGTGGCCTGCTGATGACTATACTGCGCCTTTTCGTACTGCGTGGTGTTGGCCATATCCACATATTCGTCCACCTGCGCATGATTCCTCCGTGAATACGTTCCCTGGGGCGTACTAGGACTAGGAGGGTAGCCCTGATACGCCGGGTTGTTATTATAACCCGTTACAGTGACAGTGGACGATGCTGCGATGGATGCAGGAGCTTTGAGCCCGTGTCCACTCTCATTCATATTCGCATTCTTGTACACTTTGGATTTGGTCTTTTCGTCTTCTTCTTTGTGGAACAGGTTGGAGGTTGGACCGAACCAGACGCTACCGATTACCCTGTTGCCCGACGTGAAGGCCATAATCACGTTGAGAAGGATCTGCATGGTGACGAGAGCTACAGCTGGCCAGAGGAGTGTAGATAATCGAATACTTCCACACATCAAGCACGTCATAGAAGCTATCAATGAAGAGAAAAGGTAAATAAGGACTCGAAAATAGTACAAGGAAATAATGGAACGTACGGGGATAATAGCCACCGTAAGTTCCGGTGTTGGATTTATGGCCGAAACTGTCGAGAATGCTGGTGGGTGTGTTTGCCTTTATCTCTGCTGCGGTGACTTTGGCGGCAGCAGCTAGGAAGAACATTATGTGTCAATTTATCTTGCTGAAGAGGGAGAGAGATGGCTAACCTGTCCACAGAATCCAAAGCAGAGCTAGGGTTCCCTGTTCGGCGACGAGCCAAGACTTCGTGCCTCCTTTCCTTCGTAAGTCGATGATGAGTCTAACAAGAGAAAAGGCCGTCAATATTGGAGAGGATTGACGAAGGTTAGGGCTCACAAGGAGAGGGTGACGATGGTCGATATGACGGATACCGTCCTCGAAAGAGTACCACCAAAGAGCAAAGCGGCAGCAATGATTCCCGCGGATAAAGCTATGAGGAGCGCTACAAGGTTCCATTGGGAATTCCAGGAAATGAGAGTCCGCTCTTGGAGAAGGTCGAGAGACGTACCAAAGATCCAATGTCGTATAAAAGCGACGAGACGCAGCATGGTTTGTTTAAACAATTGGTTAAAGGAGCGACGAGGAAAGAGAGCGGGACGAGAGCGGTTGGGTGAATTGGATCCCCGCGCAAGTCTAGTCCTCCCCTTTATATGTCGGGGCCTCATAACTGTCTCCGTGTCAAATGCGATAGGTCACACATAGGGCGCAAAGGGTCGACGTTGATGTGGGAATTGCTGGCTCGAGCACGGCGGAGAGGACTGACGTTCGTAAGGGTTGCTGGCTCGTCGCTTCAAGGCCAACGTCCTAGCGTGTAGATGTAATGGCTGGTCACGGAGATTTCCATGTTATTAAATGACGTTTAGACAGTTGAAGTACGTCCAATGCTCCCAGTTTCATCCAAAAGTGCGGTATATTTAAGGTCTAAAGTTTGAGTAAATTTACTAAGAAGAGAGATCGCAGATAGAGACACTTTGGATCAGATCTGACGATAGAGTTCGTCCTGAGTTGGCTTCGTGTTTCATTTCGTTGTCGGCCAGCAATAGTTGAGCGGTGACAGGTCAAGTGTCAGCATTTCGCCAGCAACCGCGGACACTCGACCAAAGGGGCTGTAACTTCAGAGTAGTTAACAAAAGCAGTATTGGAAGGATTTACAAATAGTGGAACGCGAATATAGGCAGTAGGTGGGCTTCTAATTCGGCCAGACTCCCAGGCGAAAGAACGATAAATTTAGAAGAAATAGGATACTACATCTCATCGTTACAATCATGAAAGATTCGTATACAACGTATTGTGAGTCTATTCGGAGGAGAGTCTCGCTGATAAACTAGCTCCCAAGACGATAGCTTGATCCTTAGTTGCTCGTTCGAGTTAAACTTGCCCAAATCGTGAATGTGATCCGGTTGGTGTAATGTATGTAGTCACCGGTCGACTCGTGTACTGTGGTTGCTGATATCCTTGCTGACTTGAATACGGTTGAGGAGAAATGGTCGGCTTATGTAGCTGCTGACCAGAGCTTGTCACACTATACGCCATATTAGCATATGGGCCCTCGACGCTCTTGACAGAACTAGGGCTGAAGGTCAAGTTGAACGTGGGTGCCAACCAAACTGTCTCGTGTCCCTTTGTCTTGGCCAGGATCGCGAGAACGAGAATGAGGGTGATGTAGACAGTAAGGAGGATCCATCCGAGCCAAAGGAAAGCTGTCATCCCGTTGTATTGGTGACAGAAACTCCCAATAGAGCCTATCAAAGGTTGATTAGATACAGGGACAGCGGAAATCGCTATACTCACCTGGAAGTAGACTACAGTCGGGGAAAAAGCCGATATAAGAAGAAACATACGCAGCGGCCGCTATAAACGCATTCGTGAGTTTATACGAACCACAACAGAGGTAAATGCCCGCACCTAACCATAGAACCCAAAGGATGCCCGCCCATACAAGTTCAAAGACTACCCATGTGACCTTTGCACCTTTTCTCAAAGAATCAACGACTATTCTATGGAAAAGTTAGTAATGGCTCGTTCATGGAGATGGTAGTATGTTATCTCGTTTGCAGGGACTCGGACTATGAGCCCGGGCCGAGGTCTCATGCTATGTAAAAGGAATAAATAGCTCACATAGGAATAGTTGAGAAGAGGGTTAATACGGCAACGGCTAGCCCAAAATACGCATCCGTGGGTTGGCTCAACACGTCGACTGATGCCTTTACACTGGAGATAATTCCAGCGGCTAAACCGAGAGTAATGACAGAAAAGACGAGTAAAGCGGCTATTGAATGTCACAAACGACATTTGGGTGAGAGAGGAAGCGAATAACAATCGACGACCACATAGTGATGTGATAGAGCCAATTGAAATGACAATTAGTTTTGACTTGCTTATGGTTAAGGAAATCTGCGTACCGAGAATTGTAAAGCGCGTCAAAGCAAAGGCGTGCATGATGAATGACCAGACCAGTCTGGGACGAAAAGAGAGAAGAAAAGTGGGGATAGTTGCAAGTGTGTAAGAGCACAAGCGTCCTCTTCTTTATATACCAGGATACAGTGGCAGGATTCACGACGGAGCGGCGAGCCAGAGCATTTATGCTATGTACACTGTTGACATGGTCTCGAAGGAGAGACTAGCTGGCTGGACATGTTACTGTTTGTGCACATGTTTGCGCAACAAAAATGGATTTAAATGTTGACATGTGTCTTTCACTTGGGCGTAGATTGGGCGTCCTGACAGACAAGATCGAAGAGGAGCCCAAGATTCGTATTCATTCACCGGCCTCATTACCAGTGCAAGTCACCCGTCCATATCCATAGCGGAAGGTCAAGGTAGCCCATAAAACCCAAAGCAGTAGCAAATACAACAAAATCGCTTTGGTTGCCATAGGAGGGTCTATGCTGGTTGACGGTTGCTGGCTGTTCACGGGTCCTGTGGGCTGACACCTGGAATACCAGCAATGTCAAGAAATCCACACGGCTTTTGTCCGCATATAATATGGTTACTTTATACATTCCAAATCGAGCATATCGCCTCACTGGGCGTCTGTGGGAGTTCCACACGTCTAGATACAGTCGGATACAAGCATCCAGATCGGTAGCCTTAATCCCCTCTTTTTACTTTCTTCGTCACCTATCAACAATAAACATTGATGAGATAAGCTCTTGTGGTGTTGGATAGAATCTTACCTTGGTGTCCTCGTCCCCTGCACTCTCCCTTCTCCGACGAACGGGTTGTGGATTGGTGGGCACTTCTTCCATCTCCATGTCATCTTCCTCTTCCTCTTCGTCGTGTTCCTCCTCAGTGTCTTCCTTAAGGTGACCCTCCGAGGCCGACATGCGGCTTTTGCCTACTTGCCATAACGCTATACGACCATCTTCTCCTCCCGAAACCACGAGACCCTAATTTCTTGATGAGATTTTGTGGGATAAACCAGTCAATATGAAGCATACCTCGTCGTTCCAGCAGACGCATCGCACAATCTCGGTATGTGCGCCTTCCAATACTGCTTCCATCTTCCATTTCTTCCAACTATGAGTATTATGTCTCATAAGAGACAACCGCCCACTGATCGAAGATTAGCATCGGGTCAAGGAGTGTTTTATTCTGAAGAACCAACCTATTGTCCCCACACCAAGTTAATAGACCACCTCTTCCCAGCGAATTCTTCGACCCAAGCCAGCGCGATGATATGATATAATCGGTTTCCCATGCTTCTGTACTTGCGGACCTCACGTCTCCATAGTCATATACTAGATCCAACTACCCTGTCGTCAGCGACACTCCTAAAGTGGTTAGTGAACGTACCTCATTCGACCAAATCGACATTGTTTCCATATCACTCGCACTCCATACCCGTGGTGACTTGGCATCATTGTACTCAGCAAGGTTCATCCACCCCGTACGGGCTATCGAGGCGCCGGAATTGGCGACGTGAAGGCATGCCTCGTCTTCATCACTCTGATGAGAGTCTGAGATGCACACTAGACCGTCTGAAGATCCGGATAAGATAAGATTGGAGTCGGTGAGGGTCGGTTTGAAGGACAGGGAGGTGATGTCTTCGGAGTGAGTAGACGTGTGCATGTACAGAGGCTTGGATGGATTTCTTGGATCCCTATTATAGGAACATAGATTGAGAAAATCACTCTAAAAGAGATAATGGAACGTACCAATATACAATGCTTGCTTCTTCAGCGCGGCGTTCGGTTCCTGCGGCGACCATATTCGCACTTGCACTTATGTCTAGGGATAGGAAAATCTCTTGCGGATTAGGCGAAGCTGGATATAGGGACGAACGAAACGGGTGAGTACGGCTCTGATCACCGACAGCAGAAACATACCCCTCAAAACCATCGCCTCCTTTCCTTCCAACCTTGTATCGAAGTACTTGACAAGTCCATCTTTTCCACAAGACCAAAATGTTATTCCATGGGACTGCTCAGTGGGGGTCGGTTTTAGATCTGTGATTCCTTGTTGATGACCGGGGAAGAAGCGTAGAATAGTGAGATCCGACTGAGTGACAGCAAGTAGTCCAAAGGAATCCGCAGGTGTACAGAAACCTGCGACGACTTGAGATGTAGAGAGGCTGAGGAGATGCGTCACATATGGTATCGCGGTCGTGTCCAAGCCTGTTGGAAAAAGTGTCAATTCTGTCGGTCAGACAGTATAGCCTGAAAGAGACATTTCGAAGACGACAAACTCACTCTGTAACGGATTATGGCTGACGTATATCGGCGGCAGGGGTTTTTTGTATTTCCTGGACGGTTTTATGCGTAGAGTAGATTTCGTATTGCTACCCCCAAGAATCTGGTATAGTTCTTCTTCGTAATCCATGAATTCCGAATCCATTCGAATATTCGAGTATATCGATATCTGGTATAAACCTTATAGTATCATATGTTCGTCGAGTCTATTAGAGCCTCGTGGCTGGAGGCGTAAAAGCATGAGCCACAATCCATCATATTGAGTCAAACCAGCAAAAATATGCTGACAGTTAGTACTATACTCGAAAATCGAAGGTTTGAGGCTGGATATTTACCGTGCTTTTGGCTTGCCAAAAGTGGGAGTGCTCCCAATCCTGGGAAACAGAGGGGTCAAGCGCCAGAAATAACGCTGATGATTACCTTTTGCCTGCGAAAACGAAGTAGAGGAGGCTGGGAAAAAATCTTGATTTTGGGGGGAAAGACTGGTACCATCTAGCGATTCCCATCTGGAGGAGAACCGGCACAGAAAGGAACAACAAAACCAGCGGAGTGGCACTGAATAGGGATCGTCTTAACCACGAGATATTCCCATTGGATGATCGTAAAGATCTGGATAATGCCCGGTGGTGCCTGTTTTCAATCTCGATTTGTGCGTTGGGTGTGGCGTTTGCTGTTATCCACCACTGCCATCATCACAACCGCGTTCCACCCTCCTCAATGGCGCCAATTATGACAAAATACCCGTTATTTGGATTCGCATAACGGTTATGATGTTCCAGACGAGCGCTCAGGGCGATGCACTACACTCTCGCGGCCAGACTTCGGTTCCCTCTCTTCCACGCCCATCGTCCTTTGTCATGTCTCGTAATCCCTGAAAACGAAATAAACACGTTAATTCGTTTGAAATTATACTTATTCGCGTAAATTTTGACCGTCAGGCTGTTAAGTAAACAGTTATTCAGAGTCGTCTATGACCCTCGGTCTAGACACCCAAATACCGGTACAAACACGAAAATACGTAATGTTTGTCTTTAGATCGATTTGAATCAAGAAATTCGACTTCTTTGGATTACTTGTTGCGGGATTGGGTCATTATGGGGCTTGTACCGGGACGCGCTCGCCGACAGAGGGGTACGTCCCTCTTTTACTTAGCGAGGAACAACGTCCTGAGGCTGGGGAGCATATTTCTTTCTGGTGAAGAAAAGTAGAGTGCATCAATTAATTATCGTTTCTATGCTACGAATTGAGCGAGAAGGGAGGAAGGGTTCTCTATAATCACCGTAATGAACGTGAGTCCTGTCATCGACGCGACCCGATTAAATTAAATATTTTCACGAGATCAAATCAGATTGTGAGACAGATAATCAAGCGTCATCAGTTTGTGTCAAAAACATAGCAGATTTGACATCTCGCGCGCAGGGAGGCCGGCGAGCTTGACATTTCACGGGTAAACGTTACGGGTAAAATAATGCCAAATCGTTTAAACCTCTAAAACACGACTCTATTTCACCTCAACCTTGATACCAGTTCATCCGAATTTCACCGCGATTCATTTTAGACAAGCAGACTCGCCGTATTCGCTCCGATTCGCCAATATTTGCTCAATTATCTAAGCTGAGTAATTTAACGATAAAACAACAAGATATATTAGTCTGATAAATAACATTGTTACGCTCTGACATACGGTAAATTCGGGCGAGCGAGCGCCCATCGAAGTCGGATTCACGCGGCAAAATGAGAACGGGTAGATACAGTGAAGCGAAATGAAGCCTTATGGGATATAGAACTGGTAGAGATGTAAACGTTCAGTATTCAGTACGCGAGCAGAGCGAAAGAACGCGAACTTGATGCTCGAGCGTGAGTTTCGCGATCGTCGCCTGTCGTCTCGAGACATTTCACCTGGTATTACCTTTTCATACACTCTAATTCACTCGCGTTCACTCGTTGTCGCTCATAGCGTTCTCACCGCTCGGGCCTTGCACGCGAGTTTGCAGGTTTCAACCAAGTTCGCGTAAGCTCATACGTTATCATTCTATTTCACTAAAATATTATAAACATACGATTTTTAATTCATTACGATGCCCTAACTGGATCGCCAAAGGCCCAAACGCGTGCGGTCGAGAGTGACAAGGGCCGTGACACCAGCAGTGATTTGCAGGGATTCTGAGGGATTTCGAGTGACTTTCACTGAAGGCCGCACCACCACCGTCGCCTTCGATAATGATATAGCACTGTACGCATTATTACTCCAAACCTTCTCCCGAGTGTCTCATGACTTTAGTCGTCGTTTTGGTGGCCACTCGTTTCTACCCTCCCGGCCCGCTCATGGACGATCCTATGGGCGCGTAATGCCTATGAAGGCGTATCCTAGTCATTACGACACTCGTGCTCGACTCCGAAGGCGTTCTGTGGACGGCGAGCCTGTCCAGCCCTGGTCTGGCGAGTGGCACGGGGGCGGGGCGTGTGCGTTGCGGGATCTTGCGTCGTTGTCGTAATCAATTACTTGAATCGAATAGAATCGATGCTAAAGAAACAGCGCCGCCCCTATGAATATTGGAGTCGCGAATGCACAACCAGCCAGGTGGTCTGACGAGCAGTAATTAGCATATTTGATCCTCCAAAAGTACGTACCTTTGCTCAAACAATTGAAACTATATGATTCGTTGATTTTGATCGATCGTCGAGGCCGTTTCGTGGTCGAGAGCCCGGGGTCGCGAGGGCAGAGTGTTGGCCAGCTCGCCAGTTGGCGGTTGATGGTAAATTGCCCAGCCGGCTACCAGAGAAAAACTGAGGCTGGGATCAATCGGCGATTTTGGAGTGGTGGCACTAGGGTGGCTGGTAAAAGCTGGTCGTTTGGACGAGCTGTCCAGAAACGTCTAGCTACTCCCCAGAAAGCATCCGACTGAGGCTGGATTTATCGTTCAATTTTAGCGGTCCAAAAAGTGAGAGTCCTCCCTCAGGCACGGCCGAGTGGTCTATGGCGTGGGCTTGTTGGAACCTCCTCACGCGCAAATGGGCCGAGTGAGGCTGGGTCGATCCGTCGATTTTGGAGTGAGGAAGTGAGGAAACCAGTGGCACACGGCAGAAATGGCTAGGAAGAGGCGTGTGATCGTGTCCAAACCGGGGCGATCGTGGGGATGCAAGTGTCAATGAAGATGAACCTCCTCTCGCAGCTCTGGTGAAAACGGGCAAATTGAGGCTGGGATTAGCGATTCGTACTGGGGGTAGTTTTTGGTCTCTGGGAGAGCACACGCTTCGCCATTCTCAATGCATCACAGCCACTCCTCGCAAGCTGGGCTGGGGATGTGACTGCCTCGACGCCAACGTGATTTCCATTCCATAAATGCGCATAGAATACATTGTGAATATCGCTCATAGTATGCACAGTCGGTACGTCCAAGCCCAGACGGCCACACTCTTCTCGGTTAGCATCTCTTACTCTTTTTGTACGGCATTTTCTATATAACCCTGGCGCTCCGTTACTCCTTCTAAGTCGCAACGCCATCAGACAAATACCGCGACGCGACTGTTCCTAGGCTGAGACCCTCCGCGAACGGCTATCCTCGTAGCTGACACGACCACTGAAACCGCTCTATTATTATTCTCCATATTTTCTGCTTGGCCATACCTGCATACGTCCGTGAGAAGTACAGGGTCCCAGTTCGTGGTAGTATGGCGCGTCCTTCCAGTCTGAGTATCGCGGGGCAAAACCCCGGACGCAGGTTGACAGGTGTCGAACAAAGAGTCGAGCAATCGACTCTCACGAACTAGGTCTCTTGTAGAGCATTCTTTGTGAAGAGGAATAGCAATTCCCTTGACAATGAAACATTCCGCCCATCCCGCCATTGCCCAATATTGCAGCGCGCTGTCATGGCCGCCCTATCTACGCATAACACTTGCCTCGCGAGACTTGGGCTTGGTGAAAGCCGGTTCATAGCGCCATACTAATACTAGCCGCATCTTGCCGAGAGAGAGCGCTATCAGCCTGTACGGCCAAGTTCACCGCACATCTCTCACCCTTCCTCTCCCGTCGTGTCTTGCTCTCTCCCCCATTATACCGCGCACAGCAATCAGTTTGCACTGTGCTTGTACTTGTATATATAACACGCCGCCTCCTTCTTTCCCAGTGACATACACGACTACTGCCCAGAAGAAGCCGGGTGTATCTATCTCAAGAACAGGAAGAATATCGACAAAAACAAGGCAGCTCTACTTCCGACTACTGCATTTTAAAGAACGCACATACGTTCTTATCGTTTGTGCCACTGCTCTTTTTTCGTTTCTCCCCCTCTTCCGAACGGCCGCACGCCTCCTTCTCTCAACGCGATCTTTACGCCGTGCCCTGCGTCTGACATCTCCTTCCGACCAACGTTTTCCACGTTAGATATCGGAGCAAAACAAGGTCCTGTCGTCATTGCTAATCTTGGACGCCAACCACATCCACCCTCCAGTGGTCCAGCTCTCTTCAGCTCTAACGTGTACTATTAACAATGCCTGCTCAGTTCCCTGAAAAAGTAATCACCAACATCCTCCAATTCCTCTACGCCTCTCCGGAATATGGCACCGGGGATCTCCAACTCGACCTGCCGGTCCTCCACAAATGCTCCCTCATCTCTCGCGCCTGGCGATCACCCGTCCAATCGCTCTTATTTTACCACGCAAACCTAACCTCCATCCGCCGGTTCATGCAAATCCGGCAAAACCTCCGACACCAAGCCCACGTCCACCTCACCATCCACGTCCGCGTCCTCTCCTTGGGTATCGGCCAAAACTACCAAACAAATGTCCAAGCGAGTGAACTACCCAGTGTGCTCGCCATGTTCCCCGCCTTGTACGAGTTGCGCCTCACGTTGGATAACCCGGGACCATTGCCACTCCGAAGCCTGCAAATGCTCGAATCGCCGAGCGTCGTCCCGCCCATTCGCGCCTTGAGGATCAATATTGGGAGTAAACAAGATAGTCCTGATTTTATCCTCCAATTGTTGTTGAATGGCGCGTGGCCTTTGGAGCATCTGAGTATCACCCAGCCCGTGTCGAGTTTTCACGGGACACCGTGGGTGACGGCCAAGGATTTGCACGAGATCAATCCGCCTTCGTGGAAGTTGGTCGAGTACAGGACGGATGCCTTCTTGAATTGGCAAGTCTTGATGGAATGGGTGGCTCTCTACTCGCTCGAGTCGATTCGGGTCCTCCATATGCCTCCCGCGCCCAACAATATCACTCTTGGATTAATCTCTCCACGTCTCAAGTCGCTCAATTTGGTGTATGGTCCGAATGGGAAAGAGACGTTTGAAGGGATGGACGAGTACCCGCCGTTCCCCGAGTTGCTCGAGTTGAACCTGACAAATGCGCTTTTGATAAGGAATGCGGGGGCGTATCAGAGTGTGCCGCAGAGTGTGACGACGTTTGGGACGACGCTCAAGGGTATGAAGGTCATGCGCCTCATCGAGATTTGTCCCACTATTCCGATGCGGATGGAGCGTGTCATGGCGTGGTATGAACCTGGTATGTGGGGGCTGGAACAAGGGTGGCAAGGTCTCGTCAATCACTATACGAGTTATGATGGGAGACTAGAAGTCGGCCAGCGCAATCCCCAGGTAAGTCTCCATATGGTTTTTTCTAAATGGAATGCTAAGCGTACGATAGCTCCCACATATGATTCCGTTTGTGGAGAATCCACGATTTGATGGATGGGCCGCAAAGAAATACATGGATAGAGTGGTCGCCGGACGGATGATTGTCAAGCAGCCAACGCCACCCACCACTCCCAAGCTCTTGCGTATGCTATTCCCCTGTCTTTTCCCCTCCCCTCTCGACTACTCTTGAAGCGT